ATTTGCCCATTAGGAAGAATTAGCTTCATTGCATATGTTTATTTTTATGTTCTGCTGAGCACCCACACAATTTCTCATGTGGTTAAGTGTTTATAATGGAGCTTCTGCCCTCCAGTGCCACTGCACACATGGAGGTACAGAGCAACACCAGGGTGGGGGCTTCAGAAGCAGGCAAGTCCTAGCACTGACTATTACCAAATGTGCTCCTTTGATTATTTAACTTCCCTGAACTCAGCTCCTCATTGTAAAATGCATTATCATATCATCTACCCATAGGGTTATAAGGATTTAAGAAATATAGGTAAAGCTATTGTATAGTACCCGGCATAAAAAAAAAGATGTCAACTATTAAAAATGAAAGTCACTATTATTATTTCATGATAAAGTTTTGACTTTATCCTCAGCCAACACTAAGTCAATGAGTGATCATCTGTGTTTTCTCTTGAGTCTGTAAGCACTTTTCTGAACTGGACACATACAGATGAATGAATTGTTTTGTGCCCATTTCACCATGACTCAAGCACATAAGTTAACCAGTGACCATTATTTTCCCTTGGGACAATTCCCGGAGTTCCTTTTATAATCATCAAGAGGCCTTGAGGGAGATAACATGGAGGGTTAGCACAGGACAAGTGCTCAGGCTGAGCCAGTAGTATGAAGCCGAGGCCCTGTCCCTCAACCCGTTTTCAGGCATTTGGCAGACACAGCCTCTCCCAGAATGTACTCACCCCCTGCATGTCACTTTCAGGACTGGCCTTGCAGTGCTCGGTGCAGTACCGGTGGCTCTCACCAACTGCAGGCAACAGGGCCCATGTATTTGTAGCTGCATCTTCTTCCTATTTTGCCCCAGAACAGCTTTGTCTCCTTGGTTCTTCCCTGGCAGCCGGGTAGCCCCTCTGGCTGGAGGATTCATGAGGTCCAGCACTTGCCTATTCCCAAATGTGCACCATGATGCTCTCTGCAGCAGCGCCTGGGTTCCTTGGGCACCTGTCATCTGCCCTGACCCACTGCGTGGCATGTCCAATCCTGCTGAGCTGTGCTCAGGAGCATGCCTTTTAGCCAGCAGCTTGGGACTTGTGTAGCAGTTATCTGCTCCATGTTTACTATAGCTCATAGGAAATCCAAGTATTATTTATTGAAGTCATAGGAAACCACAAGACTCTCCCAGGCTCAAGGTGGATGACACATTGTTCCACATACAAATGGACACAGGTGACTTAAGCTAACAGTTTTACATTCAGCTTGGAGACACCATTTTTCACATTAAAAATGTTTATAAACCATTTGACATAGATTTTCCTGTGTGAGCATTTCTGAAGCAGTTATCATCATCACACTTTAAAGCAGATGTTGATGAAAAGAAGAGACAACTATCAAGTTACCTATACAAATTATCTCTTCAAAGGCTGGTCAGATCTTTGACCGGATTTTAAACCACAGAAGATTTTGCATCTGAGTATTTGTGAAATAAAAGTATGCCTCTTTTACTCCACACTAGTGGTGGATATGCTTTTGTGTGTAACTCAAACTTGATTTTGTTGCCAACTGCATAATCAAGAGTTTGCACCTGTTACTTTTCTTGAATTGATTCAACTCAATCGAGTCCTGCTTTGTGATTCTCTTTGTATCAAACATGCCCCTGCATAATCATTTCTCTTGCTTTGCAAACAAATGTTTTCTTTCTGACAAAGAAATAGGATTAGCAAATGCATTTACTTCATGTGTCTGACAACTTAATTTCAATACATAATAATACTAAGATGGTACTGTTTTCTGTTGGTGTAACAAAATACCTGAAACTGTATGACTTATGTAAAAAAAAAAAATGGCACAGCATCTGCTCAGTATCTGGTAAGTGCCTCATGCTACATCCTAACAAGGCAGAGTGTGTTGCATGGCAGAGAGTGCTATTACTTTGGATAAATAGGGATGGGGAAGTTTAGAGGGAGATTTTTTAAAAATATTCTACTTTATGTATTCCTATTCTTTAAATTATTACCTTTATATATGAGAACAAAGCAAAAACATTTAAGGGTTTTTGATCTAAAGAATAAAGTCCTAGGCAGCACCCACACCCTTGCTCTGCTGTGGCCTTTCAGCTGACTATAGCAGAGGTCTGGTCAACTTCTACAGACTTTGTCTTAAATATGAGAAGAGAGCAAATTCTAATGGGGAAACCAACAATCCAGGAAAACAGACAGAAAGAGCCTATATAAGTCAGAGAACACAAGGAAGATAGGGATCATTTTATTTTTTTGTGTTAACTTTTCATTTTGGAATTATTTCATATAAAAAGTTGTAAAAAAGATTTATAAAAGATATATAAAAAATTTCCTACATACTCTTCAGATTCTCCGAATGTTAACATTCGATACTAAAATGAGGAAATTAGCAGTGTGTGCTAATGTGTGATGGATATCCCTTCTTCAGATTTCACCCATTGTTTTGTTAGTGTCATTTTCTGATCCAAAATCTAATCAGATTTCTTGCTTTCATCTGTCCCAAGCCTTAGCCTCCTCCTAACTCTTTGTCTTTAAAATTTTCAAAGAGGAATATAGAATACAAGTATAAAATGTTCTTGCCCCTGTCTTAGTCTAATGCTTCCCCATGTATGATTTTTGGTAAACATCAGAGAAGTGATGATGTGTCTTTGACATACCAGGAGGCTATGACTTGCTCATTACTGATGCTGTTGACTTTAATGGTTCTGTCTTCTCAGGTTATTCACTGTAAACTTACCATTCTTTCCTTTTTAAGTAGTTAAGTACCTGTGGCATGAGACTTCAACACTACATCAGACTTGGGCACCCATGACTATGGGTTTGCAGTTAAGATGATAATATTTTTTTTGAAAAGGAAATGGACAGCCTAAGAGAGTTCTATCCAGGAATGGACAAACTCTAGCCTGAAGCCAAGTTCAGCTGCTGCCTGGCTTTATGAGGTGGTAGTTGTTTTTGATGATTGTCATTTTAAAATTTTTATTGATATGTTATAATTATACATAATAGTGGGATTTATTGTTACATATATGTACATGCACATAATATAATTTGGTCAGTTTTATTCTCCGGTACCTTTCCTTTCCCTCCTGTTGCTTGTTTTTGTATGAACATGATCCCACACCCTCATTGTGGATCATCTGTAGCTGACTTCACACTACAGGGGCACGGCTGAGTAGCTGCAACAGACACCATATATCCCATGAAGCCTAAATTATTGTCTGGCCTTTATAGAAAAGGTTTTCCAACCCTGCTTTGGCAAAATATTGCCTTTGCAAGCTGGGGATGCAGCTCCATGATAGAGCACCTGCCTAGCATGTGTGAAGTCTGGTTTCAATCCCCACCACCGGGGGAGAGCGGGGACTGCGCTTAAAAAACCAGTACAGATATTTTGAGAAACAAACAAAAAGAACAGAAAAAGAGTTCCAAAAAATAAAAACCTGATTATCAAAATGAAAAAGCAAATTCAATAGAAGGATTTAAGAATAATCTGTAGGCAATATTTCAGAAAATTGAAATAAAAGATTAAAACAAAATAAGATGATCAGTCAAGAAAGAACAACAGTCCATCAATAAAAGTTACAGAAAAAGACAACAGAGAAAGTACTGCCAGATTAAGAAATCCAGAATTGCAATACACAAATTCTTCAATAAAATGACCCACAATAAATACAAAAAAATTCCAAAAATATCATCTTGAAATGAAAAAATAAATAAGGAGAAAATTTAAAATGCTTCCAGAGAAAGCGGAGAAAGATTGCATATGACAGGGGCCAGGGGTGGGGGATAACAAATGACATCTCACAGTGCTAGATGTGAGAGTAGAAAGGTCTTTGAACATTAACCTAATATCTGTTCCAAGTCTTCAGTTCATTGCTGTCTTCAATCTCTTTATTCTGCATTCACACACACACACACACACACACACACACACACACAATCATGTACACACCTCAAAAGAGAAAATTTGTTATAATTCAAATGAAGGAAAAACACAGGAGGATGAGTTTAATCATGTATGCCTGATTACGAGAAACATGGTGAGTTATTAAAAAATCACCTCTGAGATCAACTTTCACGAAGGAGATAAAAATATGGTCAAAGCATAGTGCAGTCTAAAAAAAAATTTGAAACCAAATGCCCTAAAATAACGTATCCTATATACACACTGACTCTCCTGGATTATTTCTACAGGTGAAGTGTTTGATAACTCCTCCATCTCTACCCTACTAAGGGAGAGCTGGGTGGTCTAATTGTATTGCACCAGAAACTGTTCTTTTTAATTCTTTTTTAGTTGTATATGGACACTATATCTTTATTTATTTCTATGTGGTGCTGAGGCTCAAACCCAGTGCCTCACAATGTGCAAGGCAGGCACTGTACCACTGAGCTATAGCCCCAGCCCAGAAACTATTCTTTTAATTTGTATTTCTTCTAATGATCTCAGATACATCTTACTTCTTGGATTTGCCACATTTATTTACTTTGTTTTATTAAATAACAAAATGGCTGTTGAGCTGTAAAACATAGCACTGTCTAATTCTAATGAATACCATGAAGTTTATATTTAAATATATATTCTCATTTGGGCTTCTTACCAATTAAGAAAATACAAAGATTAAGCTACCCAGCACACATGTAGATTAGGTAGACTTACTTAATTTTTTTTTAAATAAGGGCATAAGTAATTTTTTTTAATAAGGGCATAAGAAAAGTAAATATCATTTTCCCTTTTTGTTTTAAGTGAATTTTCATTGGGATATGCTGTTTTGTTTTTTTAAGACTTTTTAGTTGTCAATTGACCTTTGTTTTATTTATTTAAATGCATGCTAAGAATTGAGCCCAATGCCTCACACATGCTAGGGAAGCCTCTACCACTGAGCCACTACCCCAGCCCTGGGACATGCTGTTTTTATTTTTAAATTTTAATTCAACTTCTAAATATTAACTTAAAATGACCCACGAATCATACTTTCTAATGTAAAGTAAGAAGCCACCAGATTACTACAATATGCTTTATTTTAACTTCTAATACCAGGAACAAATTTGTTAGTCAAAAATAAACAGCACACCACACTTTGTCACCTACTGTCAATTCTTAATATTCTGTCCCAAACCAATGGTTTATTTTTGCCACACTGAGGTAAAGAACCAGGCTGACAATGAAGTATTCTTCAGTCTCTTCAATCCACACCAGCTCCGCATGCACTCTTCCTTCTGTATCCATGTAGTCCACATAGTATGTCTGTCCCAAGAAATTGGGACCATCTGAGGGGCAGGCAGCAGATCTCATGCAAACTGGAGAACTCAAGCACCAAAAGGGCTTCCTGTGTTCATCCAATAGTGTTATGTCCACTATAGAACAACTCTAAAAATAAACAAGATTTATGGAAATAAAATGGCCTATTAGACGCAATTTTCACGGAGATTGTGACTCTATGTAAAACTGACTGGAAATCCTGCATGTGACATCAAAATTGGAAGACTGTCACTGGCATTTTGTGGCCTAAACCATAATTAGTATTTCCTGCCTCATCATTTAACATTCACACTCATTCCAACACAGAAGGGGAGGCCTGGGGATCTTCTGATATGGTACAGAACTTTAGTGCCAGAGCCTGAGAGATGCAGCACAAACGCTGCCCCTGTCCACACAGTCTCACCATCTAGAGGCAACAGACATCACACAGAGGACACAGATGGTTGTGAAGTGCTTCCAAGAGCATGGGGCCACGCTGCCCTGGAGAGTAGCAGTGATTCCTCCAGTGTCTCGATGACACCTATAGACGGTGGCCTCCTCTCCTGTAACAACCCCTGCTCTTTGAGGCTCTGAACTTCCAGCGCTTCCACGCTTGCTTCACCCGGACTCAGCCATAACCAACCTCATGCTTATCCCTCTCACTGCAAGGCAGGCCCTCTGTTGCCTCTGTGTCTCTCTCTCCGCTCACTTATTCCCAGGTTTCACTATCCCCTGAGGGATTCCAATACCCACAGGGTCTTGGTACTCTCAATTCCTGCACCACATGACGTCTATGGTCTGCTCTCCACTTCACCTCAGTCATTCCTTTCCAGGGTTTTACCTTTAAACAAATCATTCCCCTAAGTGTTCTCCTTCAAGATCAACACCGTTTCTGTCTCTTTACCTTTCAACTTATTCACAACCACTCCCATCATGGCTATCCTTCAGATTCACCTAGAATTTTCACACTGCAAATCACAACTAATTCGTGCATCCTGAATTACATTTAGTGGGGGCACAACTAAATGTCAAAATATAATAAAACAGCAAACTTCAACAAGCATCATACATTATAAGCATAAGTATTATCTTATGAATTTTTGTTTTAATGACCCATGAATATGTATATTCACATGTATGTGGATCACAGTGGAAATGTAAAATGACTTGAGAGCACAGCACATGCATCCTCACCCCCTGCCCTCTCAGTCTCTTCTCACCTACTTTAGACCTCCCTGTCCTTCTCTGAACTGATGATGAATACTTCCTTTGCCTCTCTTTCATCATACCCGAGAGCAGGTTTAGCCAAACTCCAGCCCTGGATGAACTCCATTATTTCTCTCTTTCTCTTTGGATCTGAGTGAAAAGCTATTCCAAACCATGCTCAGCGTCACATGTGGATCCTGCTGTGCTGCTTTGGGGGCTCACTCACTCATCCCTCCCTTGTCCCTCAGCACCCTATTCAAGGTGCCTTGGCAGATAACCACTGTGTGGCAAATACCTTCTCCTTCCTCCTACATCCTTCCATCCTTCCCTACCAATTTCCAAAAAGGCACTTCCTTATTATCCCAGCACCAAACTCTCTATGCCCCCACCCCCCACCCCACCCCCACAAAGGGCATGCCTAAACTCTCTCCCCAACCCTTGGTATGTCTCAGCCTTCAGAACTCAGAGTAGACAGTAGTTCCTTGGGGAAGTCTCCCTGACACTCCTATCTCCACAGGCCATAAGCTCAATGGAAGACAGTTTTTTTATGTTGTTTTAATGTGGTGGTTTTGTTGTTTTTTGGACTCATCTCACATGCCTGAGCACCTAGGTCAGTCTAGCCCTTTGTGGCCAATAAATATTTGCTGATGAATTAGCAAATGAATGATAAGTAAGCCCTGTCATAAGGCTGAAAAGAGTTCATTCTGCAAAAAGGAGAAAGAAAAGGGAAGAGCACATGCACAAAGGCTGAAAGAATATGACACAGTGGTTGTACTGAGGACCAGTCTGTATGACCAGGCCCAGGAAGGGCAGACTCCAGAGTTGCCAGGCAGGACTCACATTAGCTCCTATTCTCATAACAGGGTCAAAATCGAGTGTCTGGCAGACCCGTCCATGTGGGAATGCCCTGCTCTTTCATGGCACCAACAGCTTGCAGCAGAACCTATGCAGCCAGCTGCAACACTTCTCATCAAAGTAGCCAGAGCACCCTTCTTATGGGGCATGACCACCCACAACATGCAGGACCCAGGATCTTCCCATGGCAGGCTCTACTGACTTCAACTCTTCATGCATAAATCAGAATGACAGTTTAAGTTAAAACTTATGTCAAACTCTATGTAGATTTATAAGTAACATTAAAATAACATCAAAAAATACCAAAGCATGAAAGACAAGGAAAGGTAGACATACAAGAAAAGCTTACCAAAAGAAAATTCGTCAGAAATCCTGATAGGAACTGAGAGTAAACAGAACAGGGTAGTGCTGTATGGTATATCACACTGATGACTGCAGCAGGGCACCCTTTATAGGGAACTTGGACATCTAAAGTGTCTTTGTAAAATAGTGTGGTAACTGCTCATATAGCAACTGTCGTATGTGGATTGGTTACTGACATTCAGCCATTGTAAGCATCTTTGAAATGCATTTTTAGCTGGTGGTGTGGGCCTATAATCCCAGTGACTCAGAAGGCTAAAGTAGGAGGATCTCAAGTTCAAGGCCAGCCTCTGCAACATAGAAAGGCCTTAAGCAAGTTAGTGAGACCCTGTCTCAAAATAAATAATAAAAAAAAAAAATTGGGGATCTGGCTCAGTGGTTGAGCACTCCTGGGTTCAATCCCCAGGAGAAAAAAAAAAATTATATCAAATCTGACTTATTTAAAAGGAAAAAACTGATCTGCTTATACTGTTTTTAATGCTGACCCCAACTCAAGATGTTTCTCACTGGCACCTCCACCATCCCAGCAGGTGATAGCAGCCACCACGCTTTCGAACTCACTCCAAGCTCTAGAGAAGAATTTTCATATGGTAACAGTGAAGTCCAGAGGATCAGGACCCTTGCCAGGACATGTCACTTCAAATAAGCAATGTAACAAGGCAACATATCCTCTATCATCTACATTATTTTTGTTTTTTATTTTTTTGTCCTTAGCACCATAATCAGTTGGGTGACACACTTTCTTACCAGTATTTGCTCAGATGGGTATTTTAAGTGTTAGAAGGCTCCTTTCCAGAGGCAGTTTTCAGAAGCAATTTTTTTTACTTCTGTTTTTAATAGCTACGTATACCTAAAAACACTTTATATCTTATGTTCTTGTTTAAAAATAAAGGCTTTAGCTCCTTGAGAGCAACTTCTCAAATCTATTTTATTAATTCATTATTCCTATGCCTAAGCTGCATGGCAAACACAAGGAACACATCATTCACTTGACTTCCTTCTTTGGGAACAAGGATAGCTTAGTCTTAGTAGTGACCCCATATATAAATGGCAAATGCAGATTGACCATGCCCCCTCCAGCCTAGAAGAAGGCACAGACTTTTGAGCTATCGTCCTCCTTTCTTCTCCCAAAGTTCATCCAAGAGAAGGAATTTATAGGGGAACTATCCAGAGCCAGGCAGTCCACTGGCTACTTCAGGAACTCAGAATCCTGTTTCCAGATCAAGCTGCTGTGCCAGAAGCCTGAGTGCCTTGGAAAATCCACAGCAGCCAGCACCTCTGCCCAGAGCTCACTGAAGGGCCTCAGCCTCTGTGAGAACTGCTGTGAGGAGTACATGAGTACACTTGCTGCTGAAGTGCTATTTAGGGTCTAGTTGGCCTTGCATACAGCTCCATTAGAGATGTTGTTTTAATAATAGAGCTGGAATAAAGCTTTGCTTCTTAGCATAATTACTATATTTCCCTTTGTCCCTTAGTGAGACTAAATGACAGCTTTCATCTTGTTCTAAACTTCCAGAAAACACATAACAAATTATTTTTAAAGATTATGCTGGCCCTTTACAGAAGTCATATTTATATTCAGCCTTTCTTAGTCCACAAGGTAAATTTTGATTCTAATATTTTATCTTAGTACACATTTTTATTTTAGGCCCCCTCTAAGGCTAACAGAGGAAAATAAAAAGTTAGGTTTATGCTCTTAAAGACATGAAACAACATTCTTTTATGTGTGATAAACATAATGTTTACCAAATTTTAAATGTGCACTTCTAGATAAATAGGATGAGTAAAACATTTCATTGTGCCAAATACCGTCTCCTTCCTCCTACATCCTTCCATCCTTCCCTACCAATTTCCAACACTAAATCAACTCCCATCCAAGTGGTTAATTTTTTATGTAACTATCAAAAAGACACCTGTATCCTGGAATAAGAATTTATAACTGCAGAAAACTTTAAATTCATGTAGGAATGATGATGACATTTTGAGCAAATACTATTTTCCTGGTCCAACTTTCAGCTCTGCTCTCTCTCTCTGCAGAACAGACAGGTTTTCAGATAGTGGAGAGTGCGGTCAGCTCAACCCAAACACTGCTCTAGTCTAACTACATACACCATGAAGAGCAAAAGGTGCTTGATAAGAACTTGATGGAGGAATCAAGTGATTGTCACTGGCTTAGGGAATGCCCACAGATCTACAAGGACACTAGCTGGACACTAGCAACTCTATCACTGAAGCAAACGATACCCATGTTCCACTCTCCTTGGCCTCTTTGCTTGGGGATAGCTGGCAACACTGCCCAGCTCATGTAAACCAGAATAAAAAGTCCAACACTTTAAAGGAAGCATCATAGATATATATCAACACCCTCGTTTTGTTATGCAGAAACCATGATACGAAGAAAAGGAAGCAACTGTTTTTTTGTTGTTGTTGTTTGTTTGTTTTTTTACCTTTATAAAGCCATCAAAAATATTAGTTCTCCAAGCAAGGCCAACTTTTCCAATAAGAGGTAGGTGTTCTCTGATATTTTTAAAATTTATCACAACCAGCTTCACATATCCATCTTCGATGCATCCTGAAAATAATTTAAGATTGTTAGTTACTATATTAAGGCAGGACAACAAATCAAGAGTCTTCAGGTTGGCAGGTCCATAGGGATACTTATCATGTTAAGTTCTAGATTTACCCAAGGACATCTGAACAGCAAATCCTGGCCCTGAACTGAGACTAGAGCCTTAGAGAAAATTAATGTGTATTCCTAGAAAAGGAGAAAGGGATGTTGAAGGTGAGTCAGGACATGTACCTTGTCTCTAATGAAAAGACTACGTGAAGAGCCTTTGTCTTGATTAAGGCTCTTATCACTTGGTCAATGCAATAGTAATGGAAACAGAAAACCAGAAATATGAAGCTTAAGGAAGCAAATACAGAAGAGGCAAAGAAAGACCATAAAATGAGAGGGAACAAGGAGAACACTGCCCTGAGAAAGGAGAGTATAGAGAGCAGATAAACAGGAGGGAAAGGAAGAAGAACAGCATTCAAAATGAACATCTTTGCACATGCTCACAAATGAGTACAAGTCCTTGCACATGCTTACTAAAGTGCAAGGCCAAACCTTGCCTGGGCTCATAACTAGCTCAAAGCTGGACACTAGCAACTCCATCACTGAAGCAAACAATACCCATGTTCCGCTCTCCTTGGCCTCTTTGCTTGGGGATAGCTGGCAGCATTGCCCAGCTCATGTAAGGATGAGCTTCACAGATCCACTGAACACACCATGAAGAGCAACCATTAAGCACAGTAACACAGTAGCAAGATGATACAACACCTGAATAAGATGAAGCACAATTCAGAAGGCAAAGCACATGGGAAAAACAGAAGAGCAAATGTTCTTCGGCCCTAGGTTTAGTTATTTCATAAGACAAAATACAACTAAAGCCAAGTTGTCTTGGGACCAATGCCCTGTTACACAAATTCTATACTGTCTCCTATAACTGAAGCACAGCCAAAGGTAAAACCAATGTTTTGCAGGGCCCTCCTCTATAATAAACAATGTACCTTAAGTGGAAGATGCCACCAGAGGCAGGCATCCCATGTCCTGGGGAGGGGCACTCTTCACCTAGGTATTCTGTCTGCTGGCTTCTGAGAGTCTCATCTCTGCCCCAACTATGGTGGCAGCCCACACTTCCCTCCCTGTTTTGGGGTAATTAACAAAAACTGTGCAGCTTCTTTCTCCACTGTCTCTAGGTACAGGATCGAATGCCAAACAACACTGTCCCTTCCCAAACAGCTCTACTGTCATTCACAGGGCTGGACAGAAGCAGGCGAAGTCTGTGAAAAGCAAAGCTTTGGTAATGACATTCTGAATGGACCAGATGTGACTGCTCTGCTGTGCACTACTGCACAGCTATAAGCAAAGCAAGAGAGGCCTCCGACTGGCATGGCAAGGGCAGGCCTGTGTGCTAGCAGTAAGTAGCAGAGCCATACAGAAAACCACGAGTCCATTTCCATGTGACTCATCCTCAGCACACCAGAGAAAATGCACTCCCGATTCAACAACCAATAACATCTCAATGGCAACTGTCTGAGCTAATACACACAAAATCCCTGCAGGAGGCAAACCTGCTGTTATTTGTTATTACCAGATATCCTACCATTTCAAAACAATCATAATGCTGCGGTGGCTTCAAAGGTCCATGCTCTTTTTGCCAGTCCTTCACGCCCACTTACATCTATCCTACAGAAAAGGTTCAGCTCTGTCTGCATTTCAACAGCCCACACAGGAAATGTGTGGGTCAAAGTGTGTGTACACACAGGTGGCACTTAGAGTACTTGTTGCCTACCACTGAATTCAGCATTTTACATACAGTAGCTTAAAAAAATGCTTTGAAATATTACTTAAAAAATAATGCTAGTAATTATGTTTTATAGTTTTCTGAATTCATAGATGAGAAAACTGATGGACAAAGGTTAACAATGATTTGTTGAAAGTCCTCCCACTAATAAATAGCAGAAGCACAACTGTTTTGTTGTCTAAAAGATTAACACATACAAAAAGGGACAAACAGACTTACCTACTGGTTTTTATACTAGCTAAGAATTTATAAGGGGGGCTGGGGATGTGGCTCAAGCAGTAGCGTGCTCGCCTGGCATGCATGCAGCCCAGGTTCGATCCTCAGCACCACATACAAACAAAGATGTTGTGTCCGCCGAGAACTAAAAAATAAATATTAAAATTCTCTCTCTCTCTCTCTCTCTCTCTCTCAAAAAAAAAAAAGAATTTATAAGGGTAATTCAAATTCTCATGATGCTTTGTTTACATATTACTGCCAATAGAGAAAACCCTA